TGTTGTCCCCGAGGTTTCTGTTGGGAGACTTGATGAGAAATCGGTTGGGCGTGAGGCTCCTGGAGGTGCCCTTGAAGTGGTTTCAGGAGATGTTGTCTTAGATGTTGCTGCTGGGAGTGTTGTTGATGTATCCGGTGGCCCTGTTGTTCCCGAAGGTGCACTTGAAGTGGTTTCAGGAGATGTTGTCTTAGATGTTGCTGCTGGGAGTGTTGTTGATGTATCCGGTGGCCCTGTTGTTCCCGAAGGTGCACTTGAAGTGGTTATAGAAGATGGTGTTCCAGAGATTGGTGTAGAGAGTCTTGAGGAAGCATCTGGCGTCCCTGAGGCACTTACATGTACAGTTGTCATGGTTTGAGAAGTTGTTGTCCCCGAGGTTGCTTTTGGGAGGCTTGATGAAGAATCGGTTGGGCGTGAGGCTCCTGGAGGGGTCCTTGAAGTGGTTTCAGCAGAGGGTGTCTCAGAGGTTGGAGTTGGGAGCCTTGTTGAAGTGTGCAGTTTCCCTGAGGCAGCTGGAGGTGCCCTTGAAGTGGCTGCAGAAGATGGTGCCTTAGATGTTGGTGCTGGGATAGTTGTTGTTGTATCCGGTAGCCTTGTTGTTCCCGAAGGTGCACTTGAAGTGGTTTCAGAAGATCTTGTCCCAGAGATTATAGTTGAGACACTTGATGAAACATCCGGTGTCCGTGAGGCAGCTGGTGGCGTACTTGAAGTGATTAGGGAAGATGACGTCCCGGTGGTTCCTGTTGGGAGACTTGATGAAGAATCCAGTGTAGCCGTGCCTCCAGGAGGTGCACTTGAGGCGGTTTCAGAAGATGGTGTTCCCAAGATTACTGTTGAGACATTTGATGTAGCAGCCAGTGTCCGTGAGGAAACCGGAGGTGCACTTGAAGTGGTTTCAGAAGATGATGTCTTAGAGGTTGCTGTGGGGAGTTTTGTTGAAACATGCAGTGCCCCTTTCGCCCCTGAACGTGCACTTGAAGTGGTTTTAGAAGATGGTGTCCTAGAAATTGCTGTTGTATGTCTTGAGGAATCCTCCGGTGGCTTTGAGGTGGCTTGTGGCGCACTTGAAGTGATTAGGGAAGATGACGTCCCGGTGGTTCCTGTTGGGAGACTTGATGAAGAATCCGGTGTAGCTGTGGATGGCCCCTTGCCTCCTGAAGGTGGGAACAATGAAGAAGTAAGTTACAGGTGGACCATCACACATGCTAATAGATCAATCTGGTCATTAAAATCTGACAGTGTTGTTAATTGCAGCAATCCAACCAGCACACAAGTAAATAATTCAGTAGGATTCATTTATATAAAAGACTTCTTTATATACAATAATATAAATCATGATGCATGTATACAATACCCATACAAGCAGGTGCCAGAACCACTAGAAAGTAGATATATATCCCTGAAGCTATATTATGCAGAGTCTATATTGTAAATACAAAGCAAGTTTTATATACAAATCAGTCAAGCTAAGCCCCGCCCAGGCTCCCAGCCGTCTGGGTCAACCAAACATTCCCCATTGGCTGACCTGTCTATTCCAATTCATGAACCCTTATACCCTGACACTCATCCCTTCATTACTGGAATAGTCGTAAAACCAAATAACTTAATATTTTTCCCATGGTGCACTTCTCCCAATGGCTTGATCCTTATATCTCCTAGATTTTCCTCTGAAGAACAGTAAAGCATGCTAATTAATGTACATTTGATGGGTTATCTTACATTACAATATTTAATGTCTTCATGCTTGCTTCTTTTCTTTATCACCTGTTTCCATTTTAATGCAAGCAGCATTATCCTCAAACACTGTTACAGCGTCACTTACTTTAACATTTAAATCCTTTAACAGCTGTACGTACCAAGTTACCACTGAACAATATTCAGACAGTGCAATAAATTTTGCCTCTGCCATAGAAATGGCCACAGTTGTTTATTTTCTCGACTTCCAACCAATTAAAGCTCTTCCAAATAATATCACAGTGGAGGCCAAACCCCCACCGTAGGGAGGAGGAACCGACCAGCTGGTTCCGCCCCAAGCGACTGATGGATCCTGTTAGGTTCCAGACGGAGCTTGGGGTTATTG